CACAAAAACAGACACATAGATCAATGGAACAGAATAGAGAGCCCAGAAATGGACCCTCAACTCTATGGTCAACTCATCTTTGACAAAGCAGGAAAGAATGTCCAATGGAACAAAGACAGTCTCTTCAACAAATGGTGTTGGGAAAATTGGACAGCCACATGCAGAAGAATGAAACTGGACCCTTTCCTTACACCACACACAAAAATAGACTCCAAATGGTTGAAAGACCTAAATGTGAGACAGGAGTTCATCAACATCCTAAAGGAGAACACAGGCAGCAACCTCTTCGACCTCAGCCGAAGCAACTTCTTCCTAGAAATGTCGCCAAAGGCAAGGGAAGCAAGGGCAAAAATGAACTATTGGGACTTCATCAAGATAAAAAGCTTTTGCAAAGCAAAGGAAACAGTCAACAAAACCAAAAGACAACCAACAGAATGGGAGAAGATATTTGCAAATGACATATCAGATAAAGGGCTAGTATCCAAAATCTATAAAGAACTCATCAAACTCAACACCCAAAGAACAAAGAATCCAATCAAGAAATGGGCAGAAGACATGAACAGACATTTTTCCAAAGAAGACATCCAAATGGCCAACAGACACATGAAAAAGTGCTCAACATCGCTCGGCATCAGGGAAATCCAAATCAAAACCTCAATGAGATACCACCTCACACCAGTCAGAATGGCTAAAATTAACAAGTCAGGAAACGACAGATGTTGGCGGGGATGCGGAGAAAGGGGCACCCTCCTACACTGTTGGTGGGAATGCAAGCTGGTGCAGCCACTCTGGAAAACTGTATGGAGGTTCCTCAAAAAGTTGAAAATAGAGCTACCATATGATCCAGCAATTGCACTACTGGGTATTTACCCCAAAGATACAAAAGTAGGGATCCGAAGGGGTACGTGCACCCCGATGTTTACAGCAGCAATGTCCACAATAGCCAAACTGTGGAAAGAGCCAAGATGTCCATCGACAGATGAATGGATAAAGAAGATGTGGTGTATATATATAATGGAATATTATGCAGCCATCAAAAGGAATGAGATCTTGCCATTTGCAACGACGTGGATGGAACTGGAGGGCATTATGTTGAGTGAAATAAGTCAAACAGAGAAAGACATGTATCATATGATCTCACTGATATGAGGAATTCTTAATTGTAGGAAACAAACTGAGGGTTGCTGGAGTGGGGGGTGGGGTGGGAGGGATGGGGTGACTGGGTGATAGACACTGGGGAGGGTATGTGCTCTGGTAAGCGCTGTGAATTGTGCAAGACTGTTGAATCTCAGATCTGTACCTCTGAAACAAATAATGCAATATATGTTAAGAAAAAAAAAAAGAAGGAGGAGGTAGCAGGAGGGGAAGAATGAAGCGGGGGAAATCGGAGGGGTAGACGAACCATGAGAGACGATGGACTCTGAAAAACAAACAGGGTTCTAGAGGGGAGGGGGGTGGGAGGATGGGTTAGCCTGGTGGTGGGTATTGAGGAGGGCACATTCTGCATGGAGCACTGGGTGTTATGCACAAATAATGAATCATGGAACACTTCATCTAAAACTAATGATGTAATGTATGGGGATTAACATAAGAATAAAAAATAAAAAATAAATAAAAAAATAAATAAAATCCTTTATTTTGTAAGATCAATAGAAATGTCCTTTCATTTCTGAGTCTAGTAATTTCTTTTTTTGTCAATCTAGCTAAAGGTTTGTTAATTTTGTTTATCTTTTCAAAGAACTAGTTTTTGGTTTTATTGATTTTTCTCTATTCTTCTATTTTCTATTTCATTTTCATTTCTGCCCTAATCTTAATTATTTCCTTCCTCCTCTTTATTTTAGGTTTAATTTGCTTTTTTTTTCTAGTATCTTTAGGCAGATGGTTAAAGTATTCATTTGAGATCTTCCTTTTTAAAAAATATAGGTATTTATAGCAATAAAATTTCCTCTAAGTACAACTTTAGCTGCATCTCAGATTTTGTTATATCATGTTTTCACCTTCATTCGTCTCCAAGTATAAATTCCCCTTTTGAATACTTCTTTGACCCATTTATTATTTAGGTGTACTGTTTAATTTCCATATATTTATGAGTTTCCCAAATTCTTTTGTTATTAATTTCTAATTTCATTCCACTGTGGTTACAGAATATACTTCGTATTATTCTTAGCCTGTTAAGTTTACAAAGTTTTTGTTTTATAATGGCTTAGCATTAAGTCTATCCTGGGGGAGAATGTACCATGTGCGCTTAAGAATATACTTTGTAATATTAAGTGTTATGTAGTCGTTAGATCTAGCTGGTTTATGGCATTGTTCAAATCTTCTGTTTCCTTGTTTATCTTCTGCCTAGTTCTATCCATTGTTGAAAGTTGGGTATTAAGTCTTCAACCATTACTGTTGGCCTATGTCTCCCTTCATTTCTGGCAGGCTTTGCTTCATGTATTTGGGAGCTCTGTTGTTAAATGCACCTAGGTTTAAAATTGCTACACATTAAATCGATGGACTTTTTATCACTATAAAATGTCCTTGTCTTTAGTAGCAATTTTTGTCCTAAAACCCATTTTGTCTAATATCAAAAAGCCACTCCACTTCTCTTTTGGTTGCTATTTGCATTGTATTTTTTTTTTATTCCTTTTACTTTGAATCTTTTTCTACCTTTTTTTTAATCCACTTTTATAATCTCCAACTTTAACTGGAATGTTTCATTCACTCACATTTTAAAATCCAATCTCATTAATTATTGACATAGCAGATTTACATACACCATTTTACTATTTCTATATGTCTCATGCCCTTTTTTGCTCTATTTCTCCTTGACTCTATCATTGCATTAAGTGAATGTTTTATACTGCAGCACTTTAATTTCTTTAATGATTTTTACTATTTTTTGAGTGATTTGCTTAGTGGCTATTCTAGGACTTACCATACACATCTTAACAGAAATAGCTTCGTATTTATACTAACTTAATTCCAATTAGCCATAGAAACATTACTCCTATAGAGCTCTACTCCTTTTCTTCCCTTTTTGTGGTATTGTATACAAATTACATTTATAAACATTGCAAACCCCAAAATACATTGTTACAATTATTACTTCACATAATTTTATGTCTTTTAGAGTAGCTAAGAGGATAGGAATTATATTTTTTTAAGTTTTATTAATATGAATTCTTATCACTTCTGGCTTTCTTCATTTGTTCTTGTGGATTCAAATTGCTATCTGGAGTCATTTCTTTAGCCCAGTGTAGTTTTGCTCCCATCCAGCTCCTTTGTGCTCTTATGAAAAATATATATTACATTTCTATATGTTATAGGCCCAACAATACATTAGTTTTATACACTTGCTTTTTACATCAGTCAACAAAAGAGAGAAGAAGAAAAATGACTGTCTTATAATTACCTTTCCTGTTGCTCTTTGATTTTTTTGGTGTGGATTCAAATTACTGTCTAGATCACTTTTCAGCCTAAAGAACTTCCTTTAGTATTTCTTGCAAGAGGAGTCTGCCAGCAACAATTCTCTCAGCTTCTGCTTCTCTGTAAATGTCTTTATTTCACCTTAGTTTTGAAAAATAGCTTTGCTGGATATAGGATTCTACTTCTTTATTGATATTGTCTATTTGATACAACATCATTGTGATATTTCCTTTACTTCTTTAATCATGGTTTCCTTTAGTTCTCTGAACAGAGTTATAATGACTACTTCAAAGTCTTTGTTAAATCTGACATCTGGGGGCACGTGGGTGGCTCAGTCCTTAAGCGTCTGCCTCCAGCTCAGGTCATGATTCCAGGGTCCTGGGATCAAGCCCTGCATTGGGCTCCCTGCTCCATGAGAAGCCTGTTTCTCTCTCACCCCCACTCCCCCTGCTTGTGTTCCCTCTCTCGCTGCATCTCTGTTAAATAAATAAATAAAATCTTTTTAAAAAAATCTGACATCTGATCACTCTCAAAGGGAAAAAGCAGGCAATAGAAACTGCCTCCAACAAAAAAATATACACTTTCCTCTTCCTCTGCATATCTTGTATTTTTTTGTTGGAGATTGGACATTTTAGAAAACATAACAACTATGAGTACTGATCCACTTCCTCTCTCCTGGGGCTTGTTACTGGTATTTGCCTGTTTCCGTGTTTGTTTCCTGATTGACTGGATTATTTTACTAAAAATTGCATCCCCTTTTCTCCCATAATTTGAAATAATCAACCCAAGAAATGTTGTGTTCAGTCCTGAATGCCTCATTTGAAGAATACTAACAAACTAAAGCACATACAGAAGCAGCTTCCAGGATGGGGAGGGTTTCAAAATGTCACAGAACAAAAGGCTAAGGAAACTGATTATATCTGAAGTCAATCAGAGTAATAGGATAGAAAGGACAAAGAGTTACTGATTTCAAAGTTCTGAAGTGATATTCTGGCATAGCTGAAGAGCAGAGAAAAAGTCGCAGAACTTAGACAAACAAATTGGTACTACACGGAATTCTTTAAACAAGCAATTCAACAATGGCATATGCTACCTTAGACACTAATGAGGTTCCCATTTTTAAGCAGAAGATTTTTATCTGTCACAACTATTGAGTATGGTATTTCTTGTATGGTAGGATAGGCTTGGGTAGATAATTCCATTTTCTGTGATAATCAAGAAACCTGGCCTTGAATGTAACCATTCTGACATAATGCAAAGCACTTTACATGTACATAAATATATATTATAAATAAACTATTATTCACTTCTTGAAAACAAATTATGAAGAAATATTTAAGAAACAATTAAGAAAAATTCTTAAATGCTTCCCTAGCAAAGAGTTTCTCTGAGACTGCTATTTAAAAGTATTTTCCTGATTAGTCACATATCTAGTAGATTACTCTATAAACCATTGCAAGAATTACTTTAAAATTCTGTATTCTCTCATGTACTTGCTTTAAAATTAATATTAGAGTAATTAATTTACAAGAATTACTCAGTTCTTACAAAAGTTTTTTTTAATGAAATAATTGAGATCCATAACTCACCAGAAGAAATCTTACCAGCACCTTTATAGTCAACAGAAAATGCAGATGTGACTCCATTGGCCGACCCCAGTTCACACATGGAAATTTGATAAGGGGGCCTCAGCTTGATTTCCATCTGCATGTCAGACAGATTTATCTTTGTTGAAAGAGACCTGGGATTATTATATCGCTGCTTGGTTCTCTGAATGAAGTTATCTATGTAAAATAAAAAATAAATTTCCTTGCAGTCATTTGTTAATTAAATAATTTGAAAGTGTGACATTTATGGAATTCTGCAGATCAACAGTTTAATTTGTTGTCCAAAACTATTCAATTTGTCATTGAATATTCAAATATTATTTGTGTTTAATAGTTAATACATCATGGAGTCATCAGTGTTTCATTCTAGAAATTATATTCTAGAAATAATTATAAATAAAATAAGGATTTAACACTACATGATTGTGAGACAATTTCTACTATTATATTCTCTTCAAGGAATTACTTTAAATTTTTAGAAAAAAACAAAAACAGCTTGCTTTATTTTTAAACCAAAGTCTTAATTTTTATAGGATTCATCTCTCATAAAATATTAAGTCTGTCAGTATTTACCAATTGTAATTACATAACAACATATACTGTAAATTGCAAGTTCTTATAAACCTGTTTTCTTATTTATTGCTTATACCATTAGAATGTATGTTTTAAACAACAAATTTAATGAAATCAATAAAAGACATTTTCTAAATATCTTCCAATTTTACCTTCATTACTTACAACTTGGTTTTACTTTTTTCTCCTCCTACACCAGAAGTCAAGCAAACTAATGCCCAGAGGCCAAACTGAGCCTGCTGATTGCTTATGGAAATAAAGTTTTATTGGAATATAACTATACTCATTCATTTATGTATTGCCTATGGCTGCTTTCAAGCCACAATGGCAGGGCTGAGTAGTTGTGACAGCGACCATATGGTCCTTAAAGCTTAAAATATGTACTATCTGGTACTTTCCAGCAAATGTTTGCCAACCTCCATTCTACATTAAGCAGACTATAAAAGATTATCACATAAACACAGAACTCTGAATCTCTAGCTTATAAATTTCTCATTGAGAAACTGTCCTCTGGGATTAACTCTTTGTGCCAATAATCATGATCCCCTCCGCAGCCCAAACACATTTTTTTTCAAATAGGCACCTAAATGAAGAAGTTGCCATAATTTATAGACCATCTGTCAAATTATTCTATCAAAAGCAAGGTAGCAGAATTTTCTGAGTTCTTCCCCTGGTCCCCAGTATTACATGAAAAATCGCTTATGATTGGAGACAGGATAATGAAAAAGAAAAAAAAATCAGGCCCTTACCAAATTCAATGAAACAGTATGGTCTGACAGCAGTATTTGTCTTCATCATGTTATAAGTAGTAATGAACTCCTTCTGAAGCTCATCCAGGAAAGAGAAGGCCAGAACATTCGGGTAATTTTCAGTGCACAACATCATGTAGCTCACTCCCAGAGAACTAATAAAACTACAGTGTAAAAAACATTGGTTTTAAAATTTCAAATTAAATCAAGGTAATTTGTTGCTTCAAAAGACTGGTTCTATACACCATAAACTGCTGCTACAGTGGCAATGAAGCTATTAACATTTATTATATATTCCAGCAAAAAAAAAATAAAGAAACCAAAATATAATACTACTTTCAGTTGCAGTTAAAAACAGTAGACAAAAAAATGCAATGTACCTACAGAAGGACACATACTATAATTCTAACACTTCAGTTATTTATCACTTGGGGTAGAAAGCAGGGAAAAGAATATACAAATATGTAAGGGTTACAGATAGCTTAACACTTAACTATTCAACCTAGTGGAACTTAATCTTGTTTGAATCAAGAACTCTTTAGAGATTCTGATTAAAGTTATGGACACTCTCCTCAGAAAACTGTCCAAACACGAAACCTGGCACACAATTTCAGGTTGGTCACTGACCTCCTGATGTCATCCACTGATTCCAGAATCAAATCCTCTACTTCACATAATAATGAATTATGAACCACTGGTGAAATAAGAGTAATTTAGGAGTTTATAACAACAACAAATAAAATAAGTGGGGTAGAAAGGAGAACTCTTGCTTACAGCAGAATGCTGAGTACCAACTGGTAAATGTATAGGTAGTCCTAGAACTGGAAAAATCAGCATTTTGCCACCAACATAGTAAAGACTGAATCAAGCAAGGACAATCAATGAATGGTGAATCCAGGTGGAACTTTTGACGAGAAGCAGGAAATTTTGCATAGTTTTAAAATGTCTTATTTGTTGCAAGGGGAAAATATTTATTATACAGCAGAACCTAGAAAACATCTTGACTGAGCACTCTAACATTACTAATGAGGGGTAGATGGACTTCCTGTGCCTTCAGTTGTGATATCCTCAGAAAGACATATCAGCTATAAAGTATTCTAGCCAAGAATGCATAATCTGAATCTAATGCTGAAAGAACATCGAAATGATCAACATTCTATTTTAAAAAGGGGAAGGGCTATATTCTTTAAAAATCTCAATGTTGTAAAGAAAAAATAAAGGCTGTGTAAATGTTTTTGATCAAAGGAAGCTAAAGAGACACAACTAAATGCCAATACCTAACCCTAGTCTGGATCCTGTGCCACAGAGGGGGAAAATGCTATAAAGGACATCCCTGGGTCAACTGACAAAAATGGAAAACAGGCGGTAAAGTAGGATATCAATATTACTAGAGCTGATAACTGTACCATAGTTAAGAGAATATCCTTAATCTTAGAAAATACACTTCGAAGTAGTGAGGAATAAAGGGGCATGGTATTTTAAGTTTCTCTCAAATGATTCAGACAAAAATAAATCAGATAGACAGGTAGGCAGATTAAAATGATAAACTAAATGGGGTAAAATGTTACCAAAAGGTGAATCTGGGAATAGGTATTATGTATATCTTTCTTATTTATACAATTTTTCGCTAAGTTTGAAATTATTTCTAAATAAGTTAAAAAATTTTTTAAACTTCTTTTAAGTACTGAAATGTTCAAATTAGCCATGTTCTCTTGAAAAAAAATTTCTGAAGCGTATAACCCCCTACAAGAAGCAGAGAATGGGACACAAATTAACCCTTCTTAGTCAATCTTCTTTTTTTTTTTTAAAGATTTTATTTATTTATTTGAGAAAGAGAATGAGACAGAGAGCATGAGAGAGGGGAGGGTCAGAGGGAGAAGCAGGCTCCCTGCTGAGCAGGGAGCCCGATGCGGGACTCGATCCTGGGACTCCAGGATCATGACCTGAGCCGAAGGCAGCCGCTTAACCAACTGAGCCACCCAGGCGCCCCTCTTAGTCATTCTTCTAAACATTCTTTTATAGAACTGTCAATGTAGCTCCTCTAGATCAGGGGCAATAAACAGAGCATAAAGGTTATTATCTCCCACTCCTGTGAAAGACACTGCTAATCTATTGCAGCAATCCTTACTGAACAAACCCAGATCCAAACTGGAGCCCCCCTCCCCTCTTTCTTCTCTAATAATGTAGAAGCAGAATTTATTATTTTAAATTTAATATATAGAATATATTCACATGGTTCAAATTTTAAAACAATGAAAAATGAAATACAGTAAAGTGTCTTTTCACTACCTCCACCTAAAGATACCCAATTCTCTGTCCCTCAAGCAACTCATGTTGTTACTTTTTTTAAGATTTTTTTTAAGTAATCTCCACATCCAATGTGGAACTTGAACCTACAACCCCAAAATTAAGCCATACGTATACTCCACTGACCAAGCCAGCCAGGCACCCCAACTCATATTATTAAATTCTTACATATCATTCAGTGAGAGTTCATGCATCCCTCCCTCCCTGCCTCATTTTTTTCTCTCTCTTTCTCTATTTCTTTCTTAAAAGACCATCCAATGCAGCCAGATGATATGGGATTGGCACCTGTTAATCACCTATTATTAATGGTGTGGAATATACTACTAGAAAGATTGTGCTGGTTTTATACCTTCTGGAATAACCTGGAATTCCTTTCTGAAGTTCAATTAATACAGTCATTTGATGCAGTGTTTTTCAAACTGCAACTTGTGACCTATTAGGTCATAAAATTAGTGTAAACTACATAAAGCATTTTCTTAAAAATTGAAATAGAACGTAATAGAAAATATTGGAAATGTATATTGTTTCATAAAACTTTTTAGTTTCCCTATTTGTATATAGGTAATGTTCACAAACTAAAATGTATCTCCTGGGATGCCTGGGTGGCTGCGTTGGGGTCCTGGGATCGAGTCCTGTGTCGGGCTCCTTGCTTATAGGGAGCCTGGTTCTCCTCTGCCTGCAGCTCCCCCTACTTGTGCACGCTCTCTGACAAAAAAATAAAATCTTTAAAAATAAATAAATAAAATGTATCTCTTCTTATGAATCATAGTCAAAAAAGTTTAATGATACATACTGCATTTTTCTATGAATAACTAAATCAAAGGCAACGAATGTTCTTCCCAATTTTCTCTTTCCAAAAAATCTTCACTATCATTTTAAAAATTCTTTGACATGTCATTAGCATTCAAATATACTCCCCAGTAACCTGAGTTGGGATAAAACACAATTGGTGATTGCTTTCCACATACTCAGAACACCCAAATAACTACCTAGGAGTTGTTTCATTATCCTCCAAAAATATAACTGAAGCTTTTGGACTTCAATATTTTGTGTTATGGTAGAATTTGGCTGTATTTCCATATTAATAATAAAGTGAACCACAGACACATACACAACAGTTTATCCCAAACAGTTTCTCTTGCTCGCACTTAGTTAACTACAGAATTATTTATGAAATAAAGGGAAGCCTGTGTTTTTAAGATTATATGTCAGCATTTTCAGAGAATCTTTCTTTCAAAGCCTTTACTTTAATTATGTGATATTCTCTGAAAAGGCCATAAAGTACTCTATTTTATTACGGCTTTTCATAATGAATTTAGGCTTATGCTATTGTCTTTCTTTGAAATGCAAAGCCAGTTTTCCAACAGTACATACAAGCCTTCCATCATCAAAAGACTTCTGGCTTTCAACTATCATGGGGACAAACTCAAAGACTCCCACCCTTTCACTGAGAACTCCTCATATGAAACAGTCTAAAGTCACTACAAGCATGCCAGTCTGTGCATGCATTAGCCTGTCCATTAGGTTCATTTAGCTCACATTTTATAGACAATCTGGCTGTTGTCCTTCTGCCTTGAGGAGGAGGAGGAGGAGGAGGAGGAGGAGGAGGAACAGCAGCAGGTACAGTTTACTGACCATTCAGTCTGAACCAGGTCCTCTGCTAAGTGCTTTATGTATGTATTTTATTTAATTTCATTCTCACAGTAAAAGGGCACCACTATCTCCATTTTACAGATAATGAAACAGAAGCTCAGGGATGTTTAGGAGCTTACCAGGGCCACCACCACCACTAAGAAGCAGAGCAGGGTCAAACTTAGTTCTAACTCCAAAGCCCACATTCTTTCCCAACACAACACCCAACTTCCCTATGTTATAGATAAACCAATTATGTGCTAATTCATCAACTTTTCCCCCACACTTTTTCAAGTCACAAATCAATCTCTATTTTTTCTTCTAATTAAGAGTTAATGAAACTTGAGAATTTGGGAACTGGAATCAGGATATTCAAGAAGCCCTGCCAACTTCTCTACTTCTTGTGCAACTCTACTCCTCCTCCCTCTCTGCACTTTAGCCACACTAGTGTTATTTCAGATCCAAAAGATACCAACCTACTCCCAGTCCTCCAACTCCCAATCTGACAAACGAATTCTGTCTTCCTCACTTGCAATGCTCCAACCCAACCCTATCTCTACCATGCTCCAATTCTGACCTGGCTAATCCTATTCATCCTTCTTGGACTTAAAGTTCCTCCCAGAGCATACAATCTAAATTGATCCCACCCCCGGCACCTGGGTGGCTCAGTCCACTGGGCATCAGACTCATGATTTTGGCTCAGGTCATGATCTCATGGGTTGTGGAATTGAGCCCCGCATCAGGCTCCATGATCAGTGGGGAGTCTGCTTGAGATTCAACCCCTCTCTCTCTGCCCCTCCCCCCACTAGCTCATGCACTCTCTCTAAAATAAATAAATAAATCTTAAATAATATAAAAATTGATCCCACCCCTATGGTTGTTATATCATAGGAGCTGTTATTTTTCTTCATGTAATTAACCCAATTTGTAATTATGTATTTATATGTTTATTTGTTGTGATGTCTTTCACTAACATCTATACTCCATAGGAGCGGAGATAATTTCTAGAGGGCTCACCACTGTATTCTTACCAACTAGAATATTTGGTGTCTGGTATAAAATAAGTGCTCAATAAATTAGTGAATAAATGAGTACAAAGATGACATCATTCATTCACTTATTTATACACTAATTTGAGTATATTGTGTACACATAATTGTACAGCCCAGCAGTATCTACACAAAGTATCTACATAAAGAAGCAGCTCAATAAATACTTGACTAAA